TTGTTAGGGGAAATAATGATTGGAGCTTCTGTTTGACCTCCTCAGTTCCTTTCTTAACTCTCCTTTCTGCTCATTCACATTTTCTATAGTTAAACCCCTTTATTCCAGAGACCTCTACAACTTCTCCTATTGGCTTCCGAAGGAATATCTTTAGGTCCTTTCTTGTTCTGCAATGCTTTTATTATGTTTCCTCTGGCTATCTTTCCACTTCCCATTGGTGCCTCAAATTCAGTTCATGTGAAATAGAATTTGTTGTCTCGTTTCTTGACTCAAATCTGTTCTTTTTTTTTTTTTTTTTGCCTCTTTAGTGCTAAAAAGTCCCAAGCAGAACACCAGCTCCTATGCTAATATGTACTTTTCATGAATTAGTGCATATCATCCTCACAATAATTCTATGTGTTACTATTATCCTCCTTTATATGTGAAGAAATGGAGGTCAGGGGGGTTAACTAACTTGCCCAAGAACACTCAGGTTGGAAAAGATGGTTTCAGGACTTGAATTCAGGCCCATTCAGCTCAAACGCCCATTCTCCTCATCACTCTGCCCGCACTACCTTCCAGGCGTTCATGATGGCTGAACTTTTCCTGCCGACCCTCAGTGTTCTTTGATTCTTCCCACTTCTCATTGTTACTTTCAGTCGTTCACCAAGCTGTCCATTCTGCTTGAAGAATATTCGTTAAATCTCTTCCTTCCTCTCTATTTCCAGATCCATATTCCTTTGTCTGCCTGTTGGTTTTAATTGCCCCTGAGCTCCCACTTGGTACCCTTCATCCAATCTTCACTTCATGTTACTGTCAAGGTAATCTTTTTTTTTTATTCTTATGTTAATCCCCATACATTACATCATTAGTTTTAGATGTAGTGTTCCATGATTCATTGTTTGTGCATAACACCCAGTGCTCCATGCAGAATGTGCCCTCCTCAATACCCATCACCAGGCTAACCCATCCTCCCACCCCCCTCCCCTCTAGAACCCTCAGTTTGTTTTTCAGAGTCCATCGTCTCTCATGGTTCGTCTACCCCTCCGATTTCCCCTGCTTCATTCTTCCCCTCCTGCTACCTTCTTCTTCTTCTTTTTTTTTCTTAACATATATTGCATTATTTGTTTCAGAGGTACAGATCTGAGATTCAACAGTCTTGCACAATTCACAGCGCTTACCAGAGCACATACCCTCCCCAGTGTCTATCACCCAGTCACCCCATCCCTCCCACCCCACTCCCCACTCCAGCAACCCTCAGTTTGTTTCCTGCGATTAAGAATTCCTCATATCAGTGAGATCATATGATACATGTCTTTCTGTTTTTACTGTCAAGGTAATCTTTGAAAATTCAAATCTGATTATGTTATCACTCTGCTCAAGAGCCTTCTAAGATACTTTTGATCGAGTAGGATAAAATACAAGCTCCTCAACACGGCACAGAAGGTTCTCCAAATATAACTTCAGTCTATCTTTCCAGGCTCATCCCCCACCGCCCTGCCTCCTTCTCTTCTCGTTGTCCTGTTTATACATCCTTGTTATTGTGGGAACTAGGATACACTCCATTTAATTAATCTTTTGTTTGTATAAGAATTATGTCTTCATTTAACAAATACTTACTCTGTTTTTAAATTGATCTAGTAATACACTCTCACACACACAAGTGCATTTAAAAACTGGTGAAATCTTAATCATATTGTTTCAGTGTTAATTTCCTGGTTTTCACAATGACTGTATATAGTTGAGTAAGTTGTAACCAGTGAGGGAATCTGGATGAAGAGTATGCAGGCCTTCTCTGTACTATTTTTAGCAACTTTTCATGAATCTATAATTCCCACAACTTAAAAAGTTTTTTTTTAAAAAAATGCACGTAGCATTGTGTTTTCTGTCCAAGAAGCAGAATGAGAAAAATAGTAAGACATGCAAGTACTATACCTTTAAATTATTATATTGTTGTATTATATGACTCCCCTTGCTTGCTGTTTGAGCCTGGGCTGTGGGGTATATGTTGGATTTCATCTTGGAAAGAAAAGCAAAATCCTTACTGGCACTAGAGCAAAGACTGGGCTTTTGAACCAGACAGACCCACACTGGATTCCAGTTCTGCTGTTTATAAACTAAGTGAACTTGGGCAAGTCAGTTAACCCTGAGCCTCACTTTCACTGTAATTATAAAAAATTCTGATCATATGACCTACTTCCTAGGGGGTTTGGGGATACTTAAACAAGATAATGTATATAAACAAGGTAATATACTTAAACAGGACAAATGTAAAGTACTTAGCTTATAAATAAACACGCTTGACTCCTTTCTTTAAGGCCACATCAGCAAATCCTGTTGGCTCTTTTTTTTTTTTTTTTCCTGTTGGCACTATCTTTGAAATGTATCCAGAATCCTACTGCTTCTCACCTCTACCTGCTTAGTTCAAGCTCCTATTCTCTCCCCACTGAGTCACTCCAACAGCCTCTTAACTGGTTTCCTTGCTTGCTCCCCAATACGTACCTTACATTTAATCTGAACACAGCAGCCTGAGATATCTTGTCAATGTGTAAATGGAATCATGTTATTCCTCTGATCAAAATCCTCCAGTGGGTTCTCCTCTTACTCAAAGTAGAAGGCAAAGCTTTTGAATTGGCCTCCCATTGTCCCTGTCCTTCCTCACTTGCACCCAGCCACATACCTCTTCGATCCTATCTTCTCTCCTCCCCCTTACACTCAGCCCTGGGATGCTCCTAGTCCAGAATCTTTGTGCTGGCATTTCCTTTGCCTGGATTGTTCCTCTCCTAGATGCTTTAGTCCCACTTTTAAGTCAATGCTCAGAAGTCATTCTCGTGAGGCCATCTTAATCACCCTACTTAAACCTGCAATCCCCATCTCTTCTTCCTCTCTTGTTCCCCACACCACTTACCATTTTTAACATGCTATGTAACTTATGTATTGTCTGCCTCCCCCCACAGGGATGCAAGTTCCATGAGAACAAGTTTGTTTGCCACTATGTTCCAGTGTGTAGAATGGTGCCTGGTACATAGCTGGCCCTCAATAAAATCTTCCAAGTGAATGAATGAATGAATGAATTCCAGAAGAGTGAACATCATGAGCACAGCTACAGAAGTGTGGAAGAACATGGTCCATTCAGGAAACTGAGTGGATGAGTGTGACCAGAGTGGAATGTGTGTGTATGAGGGACCAAGTCTTTCTCCTTCCCTTTTCAGAAGACATCTTGAAGGGTCCTCAATACCCCATGCCTCTATTTCCTTACCTCCCACACTCTTCATCCTCCACCCTCTGGTTCTCTCTCTTTTTTTAAAGGTTTTATTTATTCATTTGAGAGAGTGAGAGTGAGAGAGAACACAAGCGGGGGGGGGGGGGTGCAGGGGAGGGAGAAGCAGACTCCTCCCTGAGCAGGGAACCCGATGCAGGGCTAGATTCCAGGACCCTGGGATCATGACCTGAGCCAAAGGCAGGTGCTTCACCAACTGAGACACCTAGGCATCCCTCCTAGTTCTCTTCTGCCTCTATCACTCCACCACCAATAACTTCCAGATCAATGAAACCGGTTGTCATCTTGTTTAACCCCTGGGCATGATTTGCACTGATGACTGGCCCATCCTTCTCGAAGCACTATTTTCCTTTGATTCTCATTTCACAACACTTAGTTTTCCTCTCACCTCTCTGGATGCCTCCTCTCAATCCCTTTAGCAGGCAAATCCTGTCCTATTAACCCATTCAAAACGCTCCCTTCTAGACTCCCTCTTTGCCAACTCTACCCTCTTCCTAATCTTTCTTACCCATTCCATGGCCTCAGGGGCCACCTAGAGTGAGGCGACTCACGGATGTGTAGTTTTATCTCACACTGTCCCTTGGATCTCCAGATTGACTTGCTCCTTATATCCCAAAGGAACTTAAACTCAACATGCTCTAAACCATGCATGTGGTCTTCCCTCACCCAGCAAACCTACTCCCTAGATTCCTCAGACCTAGCCATTTTGTCTCTTGAGTCCAGAACGCCGTTACCTTTCCCCTTTGCCCATCGAAGCCCTTCCCAATTTGTAGAAAACAGCTCAAATGCCACTTCCATGGGGACAACTTTCCTGAGTTTCTGATTGGGTAAAATCTCCCGTTACATCATATACTTTTTCTCCATGGCATTTACCATAATTATTTTATATTTATTTGTGCAATTATTTGACAAAGATTGAACCTCACCCCACTGCCCCAGCAAACTAAAGGCTGGGGTTATGTTATTTGTATTTACTCTTGTGTCCCCAGACCTAGCACACTGCCTGGCAGATGGTAGGTGCCCAATAAATATCCATTGTTTCCATTCTAGTAATAAAAATAATTGTAACTACAAATCACTGAGTACCAGGGATTGAACTATGCTTGACATTCATGTCCCATTTAATCTTTAAGATACACTTTGAGTCCACATCATTGTGTTTATGTACATATATGTGTATCTATACACACATATTTACATATATTAATATTGTATTATGTATATTGCATAATATGTTTAAACAATATCATGTATATTTAATATGTATACATGTATATATATGATATACATGTATATCTAATATATATAGCATGTATTTCAACAGGAATATATATATATTATTATACTCTGCATATGTATCTTGTTTTTAAAATAAGGAAATTGAGACATAGCCAAATTAAGTAACTATCTCAGTTGCTTGGGACTTGGACTTGGGACTTGGACCCCAACTTCAGTGTCTTTTCTCCATCTATAGCCCATATAGAGAAGGCATATTGAAGATGTACAAATACATTTTTCAAGTATTATCAGCTTAATAATTTACACATTTAAATTAGGCTATTTTGCATAACACATGACATGAATACATATGTAGTTGGATCATATAAGTAGTGTGGAGAGAACTTTAGGTGATTTTTAAAAATGTGGCCCATCCTTTCTATGCAATTGGTCCAGGACCACATGGTTGCTACTGCCTATTTGTGAATGATATTTCACTGTGGAAAAGGAGATTCAAACTCACCGACTTCATTGCAATGGTACATGTCCAGCCTCCTGACCCCCTCTAACCAGGTGTCCTCACTTAGGGAAGAGTCAACATCACCAAAGATGTTTCCATGCAGCCAGGATTTAGAGGCACCGAGGTTGAAGAGATTAGGAAAGGAACGGCGGATTCTCTTTTTCTTTCTAAATATTCTGGAGAGAAATGAAAGTAGCATGATGCATAATGAATAGCAGCCACCTTTGGTTCAAAACCAAGAATTTAGTGGAAGTGATTTGATGCATAGAACACATCTCTGTAATTCAGATCCGCAAAGCTCATTTCATTTGTTCCCTCTGTTAATCCCACAGAAGTTCCTTAAATTTCTGTGTGTTCCAGGTGCCTGGATCAATATCAAAGATACTGAGATACAAAATAAAACCTTCGGTACAAAAAGTTCACAAACCAGTACAGGAAAGAGACAAGAACTATGCAGATGAAGTTAATGACTTCACAGAGCTTATCCCACACCAGATGTCTTTCCTTGTGGTTTACATAAAGTAACACGTTATCCTTGGAACAGCCCCGTGACGGAAGTACTATTGTGACCCCATTTTTCAGATCAGGAGACTGAGGCACAAAAGGTTAAGTAACTTGGCTGAGGTCATACATCTAGTAAGTGTCATAACTGGGATGCAAACCCAGGCAGGCTGGCTCCATAGTCTCTGCTCTGCATTACCATGCTATGTAGGGGATGTGTGCTCTGACGGAATTAACTGGAGGCTGATCTGAGAGCACCAGGAAGGGCATTGCTGATCAGGAGTCAAGAAAGGCTTCTGAGGATAGGTGACCACTGAGCTGCATAGGATGATCTGTCCTATTCATTGAAGAACAAGTCAGTCTCATATTGGGCCATGCTAGGAAATGAGGCTGGAAGAGGTAAAATTAAGGCAGGGAATAAAGAATCTTGACTGGTTCTCCATTATTGTAACATTATGTGAAGAGTTGGAATTTGATGTTAGAGCAAAGGGAAACCACTGGGTATGTCAAGGGAGGGGCATGGTGATGACATAATTTGATTTGCATTTCTGAAAGATTTTGACTACTCACCCATCCACACTCCCAGCAACCCATCCTCTACATTGTAATCAGTATTAATGTGCTAAGGATAAATCTGGTCATTTGTCATTTGTCAATGGCTCCTCTCTACCTTTGGAACAAAAATCAATGCCCTCAGCTGGACTTGAAGCTTCTCTGTTCAGTCTGTATCTGCTCAGTCTTTTCTCCCGTCCCTTCCACCCTGAGTTGTATCTCTGCCAAACCACCTGCCATTTCCCAAATGGCACAGGGTCTCCCAGTGCCCCATGCCCATTCCCTCTCTGGAAGTCTCCTTTGCTACTTCCATTTTAGCTAACATCCTACATCTGTGAAGACTCAAATCAATCTTCATTATCTCTAGGAATCTTGTTTTAACCTGTTTCCCCAAATGAAATAGGCTTCCTTTCCTTTTCCCCACTGCATTCTGTTCAGACCTCTACCCACACACCCATATTGCTTCATCACGTTTGTTTGTTTTCATGTTAGCTGTCCTTGCCCCATGTTAGTCTTTGTGCTTCCACAGTCTGGAGCAGTAATGGGCTCTTAGAAATCACTGCTAAATGAGCAAATGAATGAATGAATAACTAGTGGGTGGATTGGACTTCAGATTCTTTTATGTAATATCTTCTACTTACCTAACTAAATTCTCCTTGTAAAGGACACTGGTCTGGGGTGGGCTCAGAGTTATGTTGCCATCTTTGTCACAAAGGAAACTGTCTTCTGTCCAAGTGTAGTAGCCATTGGAGAGGAGTCTGGGACTTCGGCGACAGGCAAAGTGGGAGGCTGTCAGATCTACAGAGCAGCATTCGAAGGAAGTGTCACCATCTAGGAAATCATAGGCAAAACTGAAGAGGGAAGAAGGAAAGTCCTTTACATCTGTAACCACTACATCCAGTCCCACAAAAACCACATTTCTAGCCACTGTGAAGGAAAATACCTCTTTGCATTCATGGTTACCAGTTACTTCTGCCACCCTAAGAATGTCACTCTTAATCTGGGCTTCATCTTCTCACTAGTGAGAGCATTAAACGACAGGGTATTTAGTGCCTCTTTCTGTTTTAAACATGTTGATAAAAACATTATGGTTAATCAGTCTATTCACCATATGATGCAACTACATCTTTGACATTAATCCATTTTCTTGGATGGAAAAATTGCAAAACAGCCTATCTGGGATGTTGGAAGCTTATAGTCTCCACCCCCTTTCTTTGAATAGCCCTCCAATTGCAGTATCTTTACTCTTTCCCTGTGATTGATAAATTACAACTATGCAGCCACCAGACACAGATGAAGTATAGGGTGAACATACAGTCAAAGAGATCTTTTTGGCCTTTGCCAATTTCCCTCTAGGTCAGCTGTACAAATGACCTTGCAGTTTGTGATTTGGTATCCAGGGAAATCTCCTATTCAGTTGGAAAAATCTCCATGTGCCTTAGGTTTGATAAACAATCATATGCCTGTGTGATTGAAAGGCCACCTCATGCCACAAGCTCTACTGAATTTCTGATAAAGTTTTATTTAATTTTTTAAAGATTTTATTTATTTATTTGGGAGAGAGAGCACAAACTGGGGGTGGGGGGATCAGAGGAAGAGGGAGAGGCAGACTCCCCACTGAGCAAAGAGCCCAGGATCATGACCAGAGCCAAATGCAGACACTTAACCAACTGAGCCCTCTGATAAAGTTTTAAGTGTAGAAACCTGTACACAATTAATACATGCACTAAAGTTAGTAAAATGCTATTTTAAATGGATATTACTTATTAAAAGCTTACTATGAGCCTGGCTCATACTTCATGCTCTATCTACTTTTCACAAACCTCCCCAAAAGCTAAGTATTATAATCTTCATTGGACTGTAGGGGAAAAAAAAAAAAAAAAAAACATGAGATGCAGAAGGACAAATAACTTGGACATTTTATAATAGCTGATGAATGACAGAGCTAGGATTTGAGCTCCGGTCTATCTGACTCTAAAGCATGTGCTCGTTCCTCATGGCCTTCTTGTTCATCCTTGGCTGATTCATCTGATAGTAGCAAGAGGCCTAGAATTTACAAATAAGGGCAGGTTCTAACACCAATGCATGATTCCTTTATACCATTGGCACATTTTACAAAATGCTAGAGAAAACATCAATGAGACCTGCATAAGGAATAAGAGAGAAGAGACAGAAAAAAAAAAGAAGGAAGAAGGAAAAGAAGAAACTTCATTGTAGAACTTGAACAAAATGGTAGACTCTACGTGTTTTTGTGGAGAATGGAATTTGGCCAGCTTGGGCATTGGTGTAGAATCTTGTTGCTCTTATAAAGCAAGATAGTAAAGCATATTTAGGAGAATACCAATTTGAGAAAAAGTAACTGTTCATCAGCAACCAGCAGTTTCTCCGCTCTCCAAACAACTCACATTTGCTCCCACACTCACAGCCACCCCCTCAAATTCCATTATTAGGTTAGAAAAGTTTTCATTTTGTATGTACATGGGACTAAAGATTTATGCCCATACCAAAATTGGATGATAGCTAAAGCTAATATTTTTAAACCAGGAATACAACAAAGTAAGACACATAGGAGGAAACATGATTGATTTATCTTGAGAAAAGTCCCATGGAATACCTTGGGAAAACACATGTGGAAGACGGCTCTCCAGTATATCTTCTCTCAGAGCCAGAAGAACCTGCATCAGCAAATAGGAGAGAAGTACGAATTTATCCCACTTCCCCAGCATGCATGACTGCATTTAATGGAGGCGTCAAAGAAGGTATGAATAGCTCTAGGCTCAGCAGAGATTCCAACTGGTGTAGCCATCCAGTGAATCAGGACTAACACGACTTGTCACCAGGCCTTTATGGGGAGCCAGAAATAATCTACGGGCTTCTATCTTCTGTTTCTTCTCTCACTCAACATTCCTTTAGAGGTTTCTTAGTGGAGGATGAGGCAATAATAAACCATTAGCATCAAACTGACTCATCGTGAAAAGGAGGAAGAAAGCATCTTGTGTGAAGCTGTAGAAAACCAAAATCAATGACCCAATGTGCTAGTTATTTTAGCTTACTCAGTAATTTGAAGAATTCAATCATCTGCCTAGACTGTCTCTCATTAGGGCATTTTAAGGCACTTCTATTGTAAAATAACGAGCAGAAGACATTAGTGGAGGAAAATAAATTAAGTTTTGTTTTGTTTTATATAAATGATTTTCCAATGTATGAAGCCTGTGAATATTCTTAATGAAAAAAAAAAAAAAACAACATCCATCCATTCAATCCACTTTAACCAAAGGCATAGCAACAGATTTCAGTTGGGGAAAGTGCAGCTAATTAATATTCTAAACTCTAAAGCAAGATTTTATACAGTAATGTGTGAACACTTATAATAGGCTCAGTGAAACTTGATTCCACTGTGGACGATGAATATCTAAGATAAAGTTTAGGTTTTCAGATTGGGCTGGTTGATTTGTAAGGAGTAAATTGTAGGTGTGTGTGTGTGGGGAGGGGTTAGAAGCAGGGCTTGGGGAGAAAATGACAAGAGGAAGGAAGAAACGTGAAACCACTACCATTTTAACAACGCCCTTACTTCCTGCAAGTAGCTATCAAAATCATTCAGTATTTTTTATAGACAGTTTTGCATCTTAATAGTAGCTGATAAACAATCTCCTTTCACATTTATGCACAGGCATCTAAAAAACCAGTGATTTTTTTTCTACTAAAAAGACAAATACCACATTTCTCTCAAGGAAAGAAATGAAGTCAAAATCATTGCCAAAGTGAACACTGGCACTTACGAAGCACAAGCTACTGACAGATGGTTAATGGTATGAGTATCAGCAAAATCAAAGCAAGGAAATTGCTAAAAGAAGTCTAATCGTTCAAAAGATAATTGCGCATAGCAGTTCTCCTACATTTACTTGCCACTGGTGTTAACATCAGTTGAGATATTCGGTACATCTTGGGAAGGCTGCTTGTTCAAACTTCACAGATTTTCTGAAAGAGCCATGAAAAAAAGGTGGATTATATATTAAAAATAGAAAAATGATGCCACAACAGATGGCATCTACTAATTGCACCAGTCAGACTTGTTTACTGAATGACACAGAGATTTAGGACTGAAGGAGGAGACTGGAATGAGTGACCACCGAGGTTGTGTCTGCGTGTACGATTTTGTATTATTTCCCATTGTCTGGCTGAGTGCATCCAAATAATCTTGTTCTGTAAATAAGAACAACATTTTATTTGGGAAAGCTAGATTTACGTGATTGATTTGTCATCAAAATAAACAATGCAAGCGAATTATTTGACTAAGAAATCAGAAAAAAAAGATTGGGTTGCAGAGCCCTCTAAATAAGTGTATTTGTAGTTTTGTCATCTAACACACATCGCCCTCTTCATCAAGTTTCAAGCAATACCTGGGGATTGGTGTTGGTCTTTTGTGCAACACCTCGAACCATTGAGAGGTAGTCATAGTGAAGGCTGACAGTCTTTAGTAGATGCTCTCAGCCTGGACATTCCCAAGTAGCACAAGCAGTGTTTCGGTAAAAATAGCCTACCACCAGGCAGATTTCAAATTGCAGTTCTCATGAACATATAAATTTACTTTCTCAATTACAAATTTAAAATATATCCAAGTGTGTAAATTATGTAGACTTTGATCATGTACCACTCATCACATAGATCTACCTGCTGTAGACTATGACACTTTTTTTACACATCGCTATCCTGATAACCTTGCAAGATAGGACTAAATTCTTTTCTGATTTACCACCTCTCCACATTTTTAAAATGTGATAACTAGTAATGGATTGTTTTTGTAGCTGTCATACATTAAATCAAACCAGGATAATCCTACAGCTCCAAAATTGATTCTTTCAATAAATTAGATGCAACACCTTTTAGAAAAACAGAGATCCTAGCTTATAGAGACCCCTAGAGAAGTCAGGAGAACTTTCTGGCATTCCTTGGAAGATCTCTAAATCAAGGCACACATTCATAGATTTTTGTTTGGAATATAAAATAATATTGTTTGCACCATAATATAATAGTTTGCCACTGTCCTTTTGATTTTTGATCAATATCATCTGAAGTGTGCAGCCCAAATTATACCATGTTAGCTTTCCCCAAGCTTTAAGTTTAATTTTAAACCAACAAGTCCTGTGGCAGAAAGCAAGGTTTTACTGCTATATCTTACAGATATTTGCATCAAGCTACAGGCAGTATGCTAACAGTTAATCGAGTATTAGTAACACTGAAAAAACCTTCAGTAACAGCTCTAAATCTTTTCAAGAAACAGATTCTGTCTACCAGTCCCATCAAAGTAACACATCCATTCTGCAAAATAATCTGTCCATACATGTTCCTTCTAAAGGGACTTCCCAGTTTCTCCTTCCTATTGATAAATAGAAGAATTACTGACGTGCAAAGTTTCCTCCGGGCGACAGTGGAGAAATCCAGGACTTAGCGGTTCTTCAGCTGAAAATAATGTCAGAGTGTCAACAGGTGCCGAGAAGTCTTGTAATAAAGGGAAATCCATTCCATCCTTCTAACAGAGGTATGCACACATCACTGTGTGCAGGAGTTTGCAGAGTTTTATCTTCAGTGGCCTCTTGTTCGTTTGGCTCTTTTCTAGAATAAAAGGGCATGTAGTTCTTGAGAAAGTCAGCTTTATAACTGCTCTTGTTTTCTTTCAAAATCAGCCTGCATAACCAGAGACTGAGAGGCAGGATGAGGTCACACTTCCTGTTGGGCTCTCATCAGTGGCATTCACACCCAGGAGTATGGTGAAGACTCGAAATAGTTTCCTGGACCAGCGGCAGGGGATGTGGAGAACACAAATCGGGCCAGCTGGATACATCACGGTCACTCGAGGGATGCTTTTCTGAGCTACCTCATCACCCTCACTGCGAGGACATACGAAGAACTTCTGGAGAAGCAACACTTCTTGCTTGTCATCCTCTGGGCCTTTTCAGTATAGTAGTGCATAGTTGTGCTCTGTCCAAATCAATTAAATTTATTGGTGATAATGCACTGATGTTATGAAATTCAGAATACTCTTCAATACCAGGAACTGGATTTTGTGAAAATGTGTGTAGCGGCAATATGCTGATTCACCAAAGGTTGAAGCTTTACAGGAAACTCTATGGGTGGCACTTTACATTTTATGCTTATATTTTAGCTGAGATCAAAGAATTTCCTGTCAGCGGGTTCCTAAAAATCTCTGCTATTGTAAATGATAAAAAAAAAAAAATACATTCTAGCAACACTAAGGTGCGATGGATATGGAAAGGGTGTGGGTTTTGGAGTTACACAGGCTGAGACTCAAACTCTGTCTGCCTACCAGCTATGTAACCTTGGATTTGTGACTTAAGCTCTTTGAGCTGCAGTTCTTTCAATTATGAGTAATAATATACATTTTGCAGAATGCCTTGGGGAATGACATGAGATAAAAGAAATGAGAAATAAGTGAATCATCAGCTCAGATGTGCAAGATGTGTTCTTTGTTTGTTTTCTGTAGATCAGTTTTTCTTCTGAAGCCCCAGTGGGTCAGCCTGGCAGAAAAGTCAATCTCATTCTTTCTTGAGGCTCCCTTTCTCCCTGAGGTTATGCCACAGGCTGGATCTTCTGTAGAACATGCCCCTAGCAGCAGAAGCTGTTGGGGGAGAGTGCATCTAGTCTGTGGTAGACCTCTTGCAAAGATGGCCTTCAAAGATCTTTGTGGGATCCCCTCCGCTTCAGTGTGGGCTGAAGCAAGTAACTTCTCCTGCATAGATATGACACAAGTGATGGGTTGTCACTCCCATGATTAGGTTACAAAAGACCTGGCTTCTGTCTTGTTGGCCTCTCTGTTACCTTCTAGGCTTACACAATTTGATGAAACAAGTGGCCATGTTGCAGAAGCACACAAACAAGAATCTGAGGGGTTGTCTCAAATGCCAGGGAAGCACTGAAGCCCTCAGTCCAATGCTGGGAATCCAGCCAACAGTCACGTGAGTGAGCTTAGAAGTGGATCTTTCTCCAGTTGAGCCTTGAGATGACTGTATGTCCAGCTAACACTTTGTTTGCAGCCCGTGAACACCCTCAAGCAGAGAAGTCAGCTCAGCATTGTCCACATTTCTGACCCATAGAAACTATGTGATAATAAATGGTGTTTTAAGGCACCAAGTTTTGGGGTCATTCTTACACAACGATAGAGTAACTAATACATAGTCCTAACACATACTACTTTCTGGGCCATTTGTTTTTGCCGTCTATTTTGTCAGGATCTTTTGCTGCCTTAGTGCCATCCTTAGAATACAGGCACATTTATTCCAGACTGTGTCTGGTCACATCTGCCTACACTTACCAGATAACCATTCTGCTCTACAGCTGTTTTGGGAGTCTGGTGCCCTCTTTCTTGTAATCCGTAACTCTCCCCCTTCTCATCCTTTTCCTGTTTCTCCTATTCTTTCTATTTTCATCCTCTTCCTTCCAGCCCTGGCTCATGTTTTCTAGAGGAGGAAGGACAAGAAAATCCTTCTGACTTCCTCAAAGACCCTGTGCTCTGCCTATGTCCACAAATCCCCTTTCCCAAAAGGCTGACATCAAAAAGACTTTACTTTTTGGTCTATTCCTTTACTGATCTGGAACATATTGGGGCCTCATTAATGATCATAGTCATTACTCACTTTATGGAGCCCTTACTATTTGCCAGGCACTGTTTTACTTCCTTTATATATATTAGCACATTTAATCCTCATACCCACTGCATGAGGGAGGCTCTGTTATTATCCTCATTTTACAGGTGAGAAAACTGAGGCACAGAGAGTTCAATACTTTGAAGTTCACAATACTGTGAACTAAAGTCACAGAGCCAGTAAAGGGTGAGCTGGTAGAGCTACGATTCTAAGCTTGGATTTTCAACCTGTAAGCAATAGCGATCACTTCAAACATGTTTGAGCATTCCATACGAACCAGACACTGTACGAAACATTGTAGGTGTGCAATCTTGTTTAAACCTCACGCAGCCCTAGGAAATATTATCCACATGCAGGATGGAGGGTTAGGGAGTTTACATAATTCTCTCAACACTACAAAGTGTCAGAGCCAGAATTCCAGTTTCCCCTTTGCTCCTCTCTCCTCAGACCCACTTTTTCCTTGCTATTACTTAAACGTCAGACTTGTGCTTGCACCAGGATCTTTGTGCTCGCCCCAGGATCTTTGTGCTCACTCTTCTCTCTGCCCAGACTATCCCCCTGATAGTCACAGAGTGTTCTTCCTCACCTCCCTTAGCTCTTGACTCAGCTGCTTTGGTCACTCACTAAATTGCCTTCCACACAATCTCCTTATTCTTCCCCCTGCTTTATTCTTCTCCTTAGTACTTCTGACTATATCACATACCACAGCATTTATTTTTTTGTAGTGATAAATATATTCCTCAGCAGACTGTAAGCTTGATGAAGGCGGAGGATTTGGTCACTTTTCTTCATTGCTGTAGACCCAGTATCAAGAATACTGCCTGCCATATAATAGGTTATCCATTAATATTTGTAGAATCAATGAATAACTGAATTAAAAGCTAGGCAGAACTGACTTTAGCACCTTTATCTTGCATGCTAGAAATCAGTGTTTTTAACAGGATGTCCCAGGGAAGGTTCAATTCTCCACTATTAATGGAGGTTATGTGTGCAGAAAGGGAAAGGGTGAGCAGTAAATTTAAGCCCGCTCTCACCACTGGAAGTCCTACCCAGAGCAACTAGCAAGACAAATAAATAAAAGGTATTCAAATCAGAAAGGAAGAAGTAAAATTATCCATTTGCAGATGACATGATCTTATATATAGAAAACCCTAAAGATTCTTAAAAAAACTGTTAGAACTCATAAATGAATTCAGTAATGTGTGGTTTTTTTTAGGATTTATGTAAGATTTCTTGCAGCTAGAATTCCTGTCTCAAAAATGCTCTAGATATGTCCTTACCATTTGCTCAGGGTTCATATCTGAATGACATTGGGAATAATTTTTTTAAGAGATTGAAATGGAGAGAGACAGACTGAGACATGGGGTGGGGGTCAGGCAGAGGAGGGGAATGGGAAGAGACCAATTAGCTCATGAAAACCCTATCATAAAGTCTAAGTAGGAGCCTGCATTCTTGGTGGCAAGAACCGGGCTCTGTTGGTCTCTCTAATCTACAGCAGCAGATACAAGGCTGTTGCAAAGTAAGTCCTCAGATGTGTATTTTCATGGAATCACAGTGAGTGAAACTGAGACCACCCTCAGAGATTACAATGACTAAAAATATGTGTCCCTGTGACTGGTGAGAAAGAAACATCAGGAAACACCTGACATTTGTATATCAATTATAATTGGCGAAACATGTAAGACTTGTTCTATTGAGTTTAATCCTCATTACAAACCTGGGAAGTAGCTTTTATATTCCCATTTCTATGTGAGGAAGGAGAATCAGAGATGTGTCTAGTTCCTGACATTCTGGTAATAGTGTCAGGTTTAATTTACAACTCCTGGTCTCATTCCAAACCCCTAGCTCTTCATTATTTTAAGTTGTTAATTAATTAATTAATTAATTAATTAATTTAAAAAAGATTTTACTTATTTATATGAGAGAGAGAGATAGCAAGAGAGAGAGAGCAGGAGCAGGAGGGAGGGGGAGAAGCAAACTCCCCGTTGAGCAGGGAGTCTGCACCCTGGGATCATGACCTGAGCCAAAGGCAGAGGCTTAACTAACTGAGCCACTCAGGCACCCCTAACTTGCTATTAAAAAAAAAAAATAACAAGAAACAAGTTAATGCATTTATTTCCTTTAAATTTATAGTCTTCTATGATCTTCAGAGTTAAAAAAAAAGAAAGAAAGAAAATCAAGTGGTGTTTACCTTATCCTGGTGAAACTGGCTCTCTTGAATGTTTTGCAAAAATACAAAAGAGGAAGTAATCCCACACTTGACCACAAAGTTGTGTTGCTGCAATATTTTTTACTGAGGCAAAACAGTGAACTGTGGCAATGCTTGGGCAGGCAAGTTCTCTGCCCCTACCCACCCCCATTCCCTCCCCCAGAGGGGCACCTTTTCATCGGAATGTCAAGCAGTTACTTTGGAGATGTTGGTATTGTGTTCTGGTCCCAACCAAGAGGACAGACACTTAGACCAGTGACAAGTGACCAGTTAGAGCACATATTCTGACCTTGCACATCCATGTGTGCTGACACATACATTGTACCCAAAGCACCTTTTTGTGTGTTGGTCTAGTTGACCGCCCCGTTAAATGCCTCAAGATCAGGAATTAAGCTCATTTATCACTATGCTCCTTGGGCCTAGCACTGTACTTGGCACATTGCAGATGTTCAACAAAAGCTTGTGGGAAGGAAATGGAAGTAGAATGATATTTTTTATCTGCAAAAGCTTGCATCAAAACTATAAAGAACTATAGGGCAATAATAATTTTAGAATCTGCACAGAACCCTTGTTTGAAGCTTACTCATCCTCAAAGCATTTTTCAAATGCCACTTCCTCTATGCAGTCTTCCTTGATTTGCTGAGTCAGAATACACACAGGAATGTATGTCTATTTCAAATGGATTAATATTTAACTGAATATTAATACTGCTATTATGCCTGGTTGTTTCTGTATCCATCTTCCCACCATGGCACGTCACCTTAGAATTGGATACCTAGTTTTATTTTTCTTCCTGTTCTCTCACCATCCATTGCCCAGTTTCTAGCACTCAGGAGAATTTCAGTAAAAGTTTAGTGAGTGATTAAACAAGCCAATGAATGATGAAAGGATGCATGCATGCTGTCTGCCTTATCTGAGAATGCCAATGAATTGTGGCTAGCTCCATTCTCAAGGAAAGTAATGATCAGGAAGAGGTTAAAATTGTTTGCTGTTTGGTTACTACTAATCTGCATACTTGCTATGTTCTGTAGCCTA